AACCCACCAACCAATCAACCAACCAACCAACCAACCAAGCAGCCAACTCACCAACTCACCAACTCACCAACCCACCAACCCACCAACTCACTAACCCACCAACCCACCAACCCACCCACCAACCCCCCAACCAAGCAGCCGTTGCAGCATTCAGAGGTCGCCTCCCACTCGCCCCCAAAGCCACGTCCTCTCCAAGGATCTGCTCCTCAATCCCACCGCGGCCAAGTGGAGCCGCCCAGTGCCGTTGTGGCACCGACGGGCAGCAGGAAGGTGGGATAAGCGAAACCCCCCAAAGCCGCCGTGCTGGAGTCTCCTCGCCCCCGGCACCTCGGCCGGCGGAGTCACGGAGAGAAGAAGCAACGCAGTGGAAGGAACGTGGCTTTGGGCTCCACCCGTCCTTCGGACACACCCACCTGGAACCAACCCCCCAGGAAACCCCCTCTGCCCAAAATCACCTTCCAAGGGGGTTGTCCAGTGGCCACAGGAGGAGGCTGGAGGCTCCTCCAAGCCATGAGGAACACGGATGTTCCTCCTTTACATCCCGTGTGCCGACGGACACGAAGCGCCCGGGATTTACCCGTGAACTCTGCAGAGCACCCAGCCAGGAAGGAGCCCTGCAGACCAGTGTCCTCCTCCTACTGGAACCAGTACAACCTGTGGCCATCACCCCAGGAGGTGGTGGGACACCCAAAGAGCTGCTGACCAGCGCAGAGGAAGCAAACAAGGATCACCGGGATGGACAATCCGTGGCCCTGGTGGCTTCGGGTGGCTTCATCATCTGGGATGAAGTGGATGGGGTGGAACGTCTGGGAACGGGCAGCTGAGAGCCCCGGGAAGCAGATCCCGGAATGCTGGTGTGTTTGGGGCTCTTTCATCCCAAGGTTTTGAGGTGCCACCTTGCCAAGGACCAACTTCCTCGTGGGACCACCTTGATAAGGACCAACTTCCTTGTGGGACCACCTTGCCAAGGACCAACCTCCTTGTGGGACAACCTTGATAAGGACCAACCTCCTTCTGGGACCACCTTGATAAGGACCAACTTCCCTGTGGGACCACCTTGATAAGGACCAACTTCCTCGTGGGACAATATTGTCAAGCCCCAACTTTGAGGGCCAAGGACCAGGTTGGTAAGAACCAGCTTCGAGGGACCATTTGGCCAAGGACCAACTTCTCTGAGGGACCAGGTTAGTAAAGACCAGCTTTGAGGGACCACCTTGCCGAGCCCCAGCTTCGAGGGACCACCTTGCTAAGGACCGACTTCCTTGTGGGACCACCTTGGCAAGGACCAGCTTTGAGGGACCACTGTGGCAACATCTTTGAGGGACCAGGTTAATAAAGACCAACTCTGAGGGACCACCTTGGCAACATCTTTGAGGGACCAGGTTAATAAAGACCAGCTTTGAGGGACCACCTTGGTGACATCTTTGAGGGACCAGGTTAATAAAGACCAACTCTGAGGGACCACCTTGGAAACATCTTTGAGGGACCAGGTTAATAAAGACCAACTTTGAGGGACCGCCTCGCCAAGGACCAAATTCTTTGAAGGACCGGGTGAGTAGAGACCAGCTTGGAGGGACCACCCAGCCAAGGACCTCCTCCTCTGAGGGACACGCGGCGGGCGCGTCCCCCCGGCCCCGAGGGCGTTCCCGGCGGGCGTTACCTGGGACGGGTGCAGGTAGGGCTCGGGAGAGGCCAGGTTGGTCTGGACGGAGACGCTCTTCTCCAGCAGGATCTGGGGGAAGCCCAGCTTCTCGAAGGTGTTCCTCTTCCAGTGCTTGTTCTCCTGCTGCGCCAGCGCCTCGTCCTCGCTGAAGGCCCTCACCACCGGGCCCGGCATGGGCAGGGGGAGGGCGCCGTCGCTCTCGTAGCCGGATCCGTCCTTTTGGGAATCCCAGCTGCTCCTCTGCTTCATGTGGTAATGGGCCTGCTGCGCCTCCCACGCCAGGCGGGCCTGCGCCAGGAAGGGCTCCGGGAAGCCCCGTCCCGCCTCCGCCTCGGCCGCCTTGCTCTCCGTCCGGTTCATGGGCGAGCGGTTGGGCCCCGGGGCGGTTCGTTCATCCCCTGGCAGCTGCTCCCCCAGCACCTCCCTCTCCCCGGAGCCGTCCGCGGCCGAGGCGTTGGGCTCGTGGGCCACCGAAGGCTTCCGGCTCTTCCTCTTCCTGGTGGAGGGCGAGTAGCCCGTGGAGGACAAGGTGTCCTGCTGGCTGGACCACGACATGGAGTCCTCGCCCGGGGCCACTTGGCCACCGCCGGGGCAGAAGTCGGGCCCTTCCATGCTGCTGTAATCGCCAGATTTGACGTCCAGGCGCTGGTCCCGCACCAGGCAGGGGCTGTGCTGCAGCGAGTAGGAGCCCCCGATGGGGTTGGGGGAGTATTTGTGCCTCAGGCCCGTCTTCATCTTGGGGCTGGAGCCCGACTGCTCCACGTAGACGAGCTGGCGCACGTACTCCTTGCCGGCGGGGCTGTACTCCAGGCTCATGAAGCGGTCGGGGGGGCACTTCTGCTTGGTGAGCACCAGCTGCTGGTAGGGCGAGTTGGAGCCTTGCTTGGGCGACTGCAGGAAGGGGTGCGGCTTCCGCACCGGCGACTTCTGGGGCGAGCCGGCCTTGTAGCCGCCGCCGCCGCCGCCGCCGGGCTCGTACTGCATGTCCACGGGGGGCTCGTCGTAGATGGGGGCCTGGTACTCCATGGGGGGCTCCTCGTAGAGCGGCGGCTCGTAGGCGTAGCGCGGCGACGACGGCTGCGACTCGGCCGAGTGCTTGCGGTGCTGCTGCGCCTGCAGCGGGGAGCAGAAGGGGTCCCCCCGGCCCAGCAGCGGGGAGCAGCTCCCGGAGAGCTCGGCCCTCTTCAGGAAGGGCGACGCCTTCCTCTCCGGGAAGAACACGGAGCCGTCGGCGTCCGAGGAGGAGGAGAAGGTCTGGAGGTTGGGGGACTGTTGGCCGCCGCCGGAGGGGCGGCGGGAGCGCGGCCCCGCCTGGGATTCGGGGGCGAAGCCGTTGCCCTGGTGCAGGAGGAAGCTCGGCTCGCGGTCCGTCACCTTGATCAGCATCCGCTCCTTGGTGCCGGCGTTCCATCGGAGCGACGACGTCCTGCGGGGGGGGAAAGGGGGGTGGGAAACGCCACAGCGGGGTCAGAATTCCCTGGATTCCCGCTCCTGAACCTCCCAGACCACGGGAGAACCCAAAGGGTGGATGTTCCCGAGCAACCCGAGCCTCTCCCATCAGGGGTCTCAATGATGGAGACACCGTCCCAAAATTGGTGGCACCATCCCACAGACCCCAGGAATTCCCAAAGGATGCCCAGGATGGAAAGCCAAGCATTCCTTGGGGGGGGGGAAACACCCCCGGGGGGGACGGAATTCCCTGGATTCCCGCTCCTGAACCTCCCAGACCATGGAAGAACCCAAAGGATGGACGTTCCCAAGCAATACAAGCCTCTCCCATCAGGGGTGTCAATGGTGGAGACACCACCATCCCAAAACCATCCCACGGCACTTCCCGGCTCCTCCAGACCCCGGGAATTCCCACAGGATGCCCAGGCTGGAAAGCCAAGCCACGACACCCCTGGGACACCCCTTGGACACCTCTGGAGGTGCCGGCCCTGAACGTCCCCTCTTGGAGCCAACGGAGCGACCGCGGAGACAGGACAGAAATTTGGGATAATCCCACGGAGATCGGGACACGCGGGAACTGATCCCACCGCGGTTCCCACCCGGGATTTCCCACCTTGTGCCCAACTCCATCTCTCCCACTTCTTGCTCGTCCGTTCCTCACCCCCTCCATCCAACCCCTTCCCGGGATTTATCCCCCCCTCCAGATCCCAGAGAGCTGGGAATGTTCACCTGGAGAAGGGGAAGGATCCAGGAAAACCTTGGAGCCCCTTCCAGGGCCTGAAGGGGCTCCAGGAGAGCTGGAGAGGGACTGGGGACAAGGGAGGGAGGGACAGGACACAGGGAATGGCTTCCCAGGGTTAGGTGGGATACTGGGAAGGAATTCCTGGCTGGGAGGGCGGGGAGGGGCCGGGATGGAATTCCCAGAGCAGCCGTGGCTGCCCCTGGATCCCCTGGAGTGTCCCAGGCCGGGTTGGATCCCCCTGGGATGGTGGGAATGCTGGAGGATGGAACGGGAGGATCCTCCAGGTCCCTTCCAACCCCAACCATTCCAAGGCCGGGCGGGGGTTGGATAAACAGGATCGTTCATTCCCGAGACGCCGAGGCCGGAGCCAGAAACGGGGAAACCACAACCCCGGGGAGGAATCCACGTTCCCCCCTCCCAAATCCAGGGGTTTAATTCCCGGATTTGCCGCTTCCGTTCATATTCCAGCAGCATCCGGCAGAGGCGGCCACGGATAAAAATCCCACCCCCCCTCCCCCAGGAGCATCAAATCACCTCATCCAGGCCCAGTTTCCAATCCCAAACATTAAATAACAGGAAAAACAATATTCCCGAAAAGCCCCGGAGCTTTTCCTAAAGAAAATTCCTCTGGATTATTTCCTGAACGCCCAAAAAACCTCGTTCCGAAAGAAATGGGATTTTCCGCCCTCGAAAAGTCCTTTTTTTGTCCTTAAATCCATCCAGGAAATCCCGAGGGACGTCGGAGAGGAGACGGAGCCCCGACCACGCTCCTGGTACGGTCGGAAATTCCGAGTATTCCCGGTATTTCTGGCTTGGGATGGGGTTGTCCCTGTTATTTGCTTCCCTCGTGGAGAAGGGAAGGTTTGTGGTTTTTTTTTTTCCC